TCTACTACTACTGTTTTGTGTCTTTATTATTTAATATCAACCGGCTAAGCCTATGAAGAGACAAAATGCGAATTCCCCTCATTTTTGTTGAACTCAATTTAGTTACAATGAATTGAATCGAAAAAGAGAAAAAAAACAACAACAGTAACATAGCTACATAGATCTGTTGACCAGTGAGATACGAATAACAATGGAATGAAAGAATGAAGAAAGCGTATATGTGTATGTATGCATCAGCACGCATAGATATACAGCTCTGTGTGGCCGTGCTATTGTTGTTGTTTTTTCTCTTTTTCATTTCAATGCTACAGAATTAAATTCAGTTTTTCGATCTAATTCGAACTAATGTGAGGTGGCGCTGATCAGCTGCGTTCACATAAAAAAGTTCCCAATCTCATATACGCCAACCCCGCTTGTTTAATATTGAATAATAAAACCACTTTACAATGCCATCCTTCTTTCGATAATATCCTTTCTTGGAAAAATCTCGTGCCAATCCGAAATCACAAATCTTGACTACGTTGTTGGTACACAGCAAAATATTTCTCGCTGCTAAATCTCGATGTAGAATATTACAAGAAATCAAATATTGCATTCCTTGCGCCACTTGAAATGACCAGGAAAGTAAATCAGACATTGAAATTGAATGGATCTTTATATATTCGCTTTTAGGTGGATCTAGAAAAAGAAAAAAAAATCGATAAACTATTGACGGTCACAAGTACATACGTCTACGTTCGCTAGACTTTCGTAAACATTTTAGTAGCGAGATTGGAGAATATCGTATAATTGTTCATCATGCGATTTAAGTAATAATTATTCCATAGACTTGCATTTTTATATTTCATATTATAAAAATGTAAATTTTTTGACTTACCTCTGTTTGGATAGTCTTGGCAGACTAAAAACTTGAATAAAAAAAATTAATTAGAATGATGTTTTGAACTTGATTATTGGCCCAAGACCTTATTAATCATGACTAATTTTCTTGAGCAAGTAAACCAAATCAAAATTAATATTATTTTCTTAAGTGATAAATAGTCACTTGCCTAGTGATAAAGGTTATTCCTACTTGATCGAGAAAATTAGTCATGAATCATAATCTGTTATCATGACTACCAATTCGTCTGACTCTGAGTCTTGGTTTTGTTCAGCACTATACAAAGAATTAGTGGGAGATTGGTCATTTTCTTTGAACTGAAAAGATTATCAACGAAATTGTTTTAAAAGGATATACTCGATATTAGGATCGTAGAACTTACTTCTTGATCTTGTTCATCATCACATTTGTGGTCAGTTGATTGTTCTTCATTCGTTATAATTGAATCAATTGTATCATTTTCATGATTAATTTGATAGATGAAACGTTTACGATTTTTTCTCAATAAATCCCTAATATTGCCGTAATCACAGTGTTCAACAATAATCATCACTTCATCTATAAAAATGTGGAGAGAATGTTGAATAAATGTTTATTTTTGAAATTTATTCTTAAAATGAAAGTGATTTATTTACTTTGTGCAATATTCTCGGTGACAGTTCCAAGTAAATTCACCACATTCAAATGCTGACTCAAATGCATTAGGATTTTCATTTCAGAAACTAATGCCTTCATTACCTGTAGTAAGAATGGATTATTTATGGAAAAAGGTTAAGTAATGAAATTCTATATAATTTTTGATTTAAGCCAGAGCATGAATTTGTCACTCAGGAAGAGCGCGCTTCCTGGCAGCCGCTCCTAGCTTTGAATGTGTTGGTGTGACTAATGTTGTTTGTATTAGTGTGTGCTGTATACTAATATGAAGTCAGAAGCGGCTCCTGACAAGTACACTACGCTCTTCTGAGGCGCTGCGCTCCACTTAGCAGACACGTTCTTCACAAGTGCGATTTAAGGGACGGGGCATTATTTTAAAAGAATGAACAAATTGAGTTTGAAAATGAATTCAATTCTGCGACACAGAATTGGGGAAGTTCCCAAGAAGCAACATTGGGGTTCTTTTGAACAAATCGATATGTTTCTATTCAATCAAACTTACTTCCTCATCGGGCGAATTATCTTTGAACATCTTGACGGCAACTTTGATTTCTTCCTCATTAGATAAGATTCCACGAGCAAATCCTTCGTGGACAACACCAAACTCACCAGCACCAAGCACCCTTCCGAGTTTAAGCTTTTCTTTGGGAAATTCAAACTCTTTTTTATATGGCAAAAGATGGGCCTGGTCATTCAGTGCATGATCTAGTTTGATTTTCTTTTCATTTCCTTGAAGCAGTTTTTCAAAACGATGGCTTCTCTTTCGTTCACGTAGAAAATAAATTAGTATTATCACAACAAGAACTATCAAACTAAATCCGACTGCTATTGAAATTGGAATTAAGCCTATAAAAAGAGAAAGGTTTGAACTTAAGTAATAAATACTACTAAGAGATTAGATAAAATTAATAAAAGTAAAAAATGTATGAAGTCACCCTTTAGAGTATGAGCTTTCAGCGAATCAAGGTATTGTTGAATTACAGTCCATGTGACTGAAACATTAATACCAATTGATATAGTTTTTTTAAATTATTGAATCAAATTAAGTTAATTTAATTAAGTGGCTTATATATCAATGAATAACTTTGAAACTCTTACCATTTTTTGCCAAATCCACTGGCGTTTTTTCATCAATATTTCTTGCATCCACTGGTGCGCCATTTGAAATCAGAAAGATAGCTACTTCCGTTTGCCCTGGAATGTTTATTATTTAAATTTCGTTCAATTTTTAAGTCTTTTAATAGACAACATAGTCGAACTGTGTATCAATCAAATGGTCAAGGATAATTATGATCTCCAATCTCCAACATTTCACTTTTATTTTCGATCTCCTTCAAGTTACACATTTATTACCAACGCTCATTTTTTTTAACTCAATGTCGTGTTTCAGAATTTTTCATAGGAAGATTGGAGATACTAATTATTAAAGTGTAAGAACCATGGAGATTAACTAATTGTTACTGACATTTCTTAAGGTATTAAAGTAAAGCATTTATAGGATTTCACTATAGAATTTACAGTAGTAGCTGCAATATTTTTGACAGGAGTGTAAATCTTATCTAGACTTGGTTTGAAATAAAAGTTCTTTGTATTACAGGGAATTCTAATAAGCTACTAACACATGCCCTTAACTTGTGTGTGTTACCATTCAATTATCCATTCTTGTGCAACTAGTTTTCGATTATTTGTGCTCTTACCGTATTCTGTTGCGAAATGGAGCGGGGTCCATTTCAAAGTTGTTTCAGCGCTAACATTAGCCCCCTTTTCGACGAGAAATTTTACCACATTCACACTGCCTAAAACGTTAATCAAACATATAAAAATTGACAGGATTATCTGAACAATACATTACCATTTTTGGCAGCGAAGTGGAGTGGCGTTAATTTATCTTTAGTTTCTGCATTAACATCAACCTGTTTTGAAACCAGAAGCTCTACAATACCTAAAGCGCCTGGAAAGTTAATAGCCATAATTACTGATAATGAGAATAGTTTACAATTTAAATTATCTGGACTATTTATTACCGTTTTCTGCAGCCAAATGGAGCGGCATCGATTTATCTACGTCTGTTGCATTAACATCAGCCTTATTTTTGATAAGAATTTCAGCAATATCCCTATAATCTTGACCTGGAAGATTGATAAAATATAAATTGGAAATAAGTTTATGATTGGACTTCAGTGAAGTGAACCGGTTTGATGATTTCTCATTCAAACCGATTTCGAAGCGGGATCTCAAATTGGTTTCATTTGTGTGTTTAACAAAACGGAGCAAGCGGAACGTTGCAAAAATGGTTAAATTGTATGTATTGCGAACATACATTCACTGTGTGTGTACGTGATTAGTGATTCCTTGAATGTATGAGTGTACAATGGTGCTGCTATGCACACTATACAGCGCATCGCAGTTCAAACTATTTTCGGAACGTTCCGCTTGCAACAATGAAATCGTTTGGTTTCGTTTCACTTTTCTGCTAGACTTAATTGCTTCGACTGCTACCCGATTGTGCAACAAAATGGAGCGGCGTTTGTTTATTTTTATCTTCAGCATGAACAGAAGCTCCCCATGGGATGAGATATTCGGCCGCAAGTCCTTGACCTGAATGGATAATTAAATACTAAAATAAATGTTAAGTGTGTGTTAAATTGCTTCGACTGTTACCATATATTGCAGCTACATGGAGCGGTGTCCATTTGTCTATAGTTTCTGCATTGACATTCGCTGAATGCTTTGAGAATAATAATTGTACAATATCAAGGTGCCCTAGAGAATTAATCAATTAACGTTCGAAGGAATTTATAAATCGACTTGATTGTTTGTATGTATTTTATATATAAACATTTTGAACTATCGTATTACCATTTTGTACAGATATATGGAGAGGCGTCCATTTATGAATATTTTCTTCGTTAACATTGGCCTTATGCTCGATGAGAAGCCTGGCAATATCCGTTGTGCCTGGAATTTGAATCAAAACAATCTTCAATAAAAAAGAGAACCAGAGTTCGATTCGATTGTTTTTTCTATTACCATATTGTGCAGATACATGGAGAGGCGTCCATTTATATTCCATTTCTGCACTAATATTGGCGTTATGCTCGATGAGAAGCTTGGCAATATCCTTTGTGCCTGGAATATAATTCAAAGCAAACTTCATTAAAAAGAGCAAGCGTTCAGAAAGACATACATTTATGCGAGCAATTGAATGATGCTTGCATCATTTGATGCGCATCGGTTTTGCTGTCGCCATACATTCGGATCTTCGGCAGCGCACGAAGTGCTCCGAACGCACAACGAAAGCACTAGCGATGCGCATCAAATGATGCAAGCATCATTCAATTGCTCGCATAAATGTATGTCTTTCTGAACGCTTGAAAAAGAGGATCAAAGTTCAACGCGATTATTCTGACTATTACCATGTTTTGCAGATATATGGAGAGGCGTCCATTTTTCTTCCATTTCTGCACTAATATTGGCGTTATGCTCGATGAGAAGCTTGGCAATATCCAGTGTGCCTGGAATTTGAATCAAAACAACCTTCATTAAAAACGGAACCAGAGTTCGATTCGATTGTTTGGACTATTACCAGATTCTGCAGATATATGAAGAGATGTCGATTTTAATGCCCATTCTGCACTGATATTTGCCCCATGTTCGATGAGAAGATTGGCAATATCCGTTGTGCCTGGAATATTAATCAAGACAACCTTCATTAAAAAAGGAATTATAATTCGACTCGATTGTTTGTACTATTACCAAATTGTGCAGATACATGGAGAGGCGTCAATTGATCTACATCTTTTGCATTGACATTTGCTCCATGATCGATTAGAAGCTTGGCAATATCATTTGTGCCTGGAATTTGAATCAAAACAACCTTCATTAAAAAGGCAACCACAGTTCGACTCGATTGTTTTTTCTATTACCATATACTGCAGATACATGGAGTGGTGTAGATTTATATTTATCTTCTGCATTGACGTTTGCTCCATGATCGACGAGAAACTTGGCAATATCCGTTATGCCTGGAAAATAAATCAATCATTATAATTCAGTATAACAATCCTTATTAGTGCCAAATTCAATTTGCAATAACTTATGGATTATAACTAAAGTGAAGGTAGAAAACTCCTATATTTTAAGGTATTCTCGTACATACAAGACGGCTCTAGGGTACGGACACAAAACCTAGTAAAAACTAGTTTCATAGTTTACTGCTAATTTTGCTAATATTTTTCAATGTGAACGAACATTTTCTAGTTTTGTTATTAATTTCAAATTGGGTGTCGACACATTATTGAACCTAAATGTGAGGTTAATGCATACCTTAAAAACGCTGCGTGCCGAACATACCCATGGATGATTGCCATTGATTGGAGTTAATTGAATACTTAAATCCATTTTAATTATTATTGAACAATCTAACAAATAATTACCATTTCTTGCGGCTTCATGAAGCTCGGTCCATTTTTCATCTTCCTCCACTTTTGTGTTTGCACCTTGTTCAATTGAAATTGTAAGGCACACAAGTAATAAAATGAACGAATGCCGCATTTCTTCTCTGCCGCTGATTCAGCTGTTATTTTATATGTCTTTCTGATTTTAAATTTTTAAGTCCGAACACTGTATAATTGTTATTAAAAAACGCACAATCTTACAAACAGAATCAAATTGGACTATATTTGATCCATATAATATAACCATTCGTTAAGGTTTCTATTCTGAATGGAGTTCACTATGCTTGTGACGAACGTATCAATTGCTGACCTTTTCCATTTCTTCTCACATTTATAAAAGTGAGCATAAAATCTCGCATATGTATAAAATTTTATACGGTTTTATTTGCGTTTTTGTTTGTGTAAAATGGATTAAGAGATTTGTACATGAACTGAAAAGTTCAGTCTGGAAGTAAATATTGCATATTGGGTGAAAAAAATTGGGTTTTTCAATTTAATGAATTTTGCTACTATAATTCTTTTAATAATGATTGATGATGTCTTTTTCACTTAATTTTAATTCTTATTCACTATAAACTATAAATTTGTGTGTACACACAGAGTCGAAGAGAAACTCTGCTCTTGGCTGAAACGTATCGCCTACTGAGTAAGAGCTACTGCATAGGACAAACTAATATCTTAGCACAGTGTATGCACTGATTTTAAAAGAAATGTGAAACGTTTGGATTGATGTGGTTTTCTGAACGAAGTTTCCATAAAGGAAATGTGTATTCTGTCCATTGGTCGAATATTTATCAACTAAAAACTTGTGCTCCTCTATATGAATAAATACACACTGGAAATTATATCAGCATTATGACAAATTCAACTAAATCAGTGGCCGTCATCAGAAATAACGAAAACATTATGGTCCATTGTAATCGAATTACAAATGACAATTGAAAACACTGAGAATGAACATAGTCAGAACCCAAACATGCGGGTATCTTCCTATATTGTGAATATACTAAAAAGGCCGTTACACGCACATATGGGTACACTTTACTCAACCAAGGTTTATGTATATTAAACTAAGCAGCTGCTAGCAGAGAGAGCCTTTGTTGTTGTTATTTGGCAAGTTCCAAGCAACAAGAAGAATCATAAATAAGAATACAATTAAGTCAATTGTGTTTCACTTATCGTATACGAAATAAAATGTCTTACATCCGTAAGATGAACTTTTCCACAACATGCATTTATTACGTATCTTTTATCGTAAATATGAATCCATGAGAAAACTGAATCTGATATAAGTTTTGCGATACAAATAATTTTTGATAGACTTTTTAATGCCTGTATGATATCGTAATAATGTGAAAATTTGCAGATGTTATTTTTTTCACAAAAACTAACATTCTGAAAGCTTGAAGAAATTTGAATACAATTGAGTGGTACCTTCCATACAAAATTTTCGTTTATGAGCAAAAAATCTAAAAATTTGTTAGGGAGGAAATCTCTTCAAACCCTCGGAATGTTATTTTTGTGTGAAAAAAATAATCTTTGCAAAGTTTCAGCTCATTACGATATAATACAGGCATAGCTTTCATACAAAAATCCAATTTTTTTGAAATTTTTGTATGAAAAGTGTGTCGAAAGAAAAAATAAAATGTCTTACATCCGTAAGATGAACTTTTCCGCACCGTGATCCACACCATGCATTTATTACAAATCTTTTACTCAAAGAATTCACGAGAAAACTGAACCTGACATTAGTTTTAAGATACAAATAATTTTTGAAGCACTTTTCATACAAAAACTACTAAAAATGAGAATTTTTGTATCGCAGCCATGCCTATATGATATCGTAATTATGTGAAAATTTGCAGAGGTTATTTTTTCACAAAAGGCTGACATTCCGAAAGTTTGAAGAAATTTCAATGCATATTAAGGGTACTTCCCATACAACATTTCGTTTTTGAGCGAAAAATCCAAAATTTTGTTCGGGTGGTACCCCTAATATGCGTTGAAATGTTTTCAAACTCTCGAAATGGTATTTTTGTATGATAAAAATAACCTGTGCAAAGTTTGAGCTCATTACGATATCATACAGGCATGGCTTCCATACAAAAATCCAATTTTTTTGAAATTTTTGTATTAAAAGTGTGTCGAAAGTTACTTGTATCGCAAAACTAACGTCATATTCGGTTTTCTCGTACCCAAAAACCCTCCAATACACATTTTTGAGTGTTTAAGAATACATTAAATATCACTTTTGGAAGAAAAATTGAATTTTTCTCATGAATGGCCATAGGCATCACACCAGACATGACACTTCACTCTGTCAACCAAAGTGGCTCAAAATCTAATGGTTTCTATTCCTCGGCACCCCCAATCATCCTG